ACTACCTCTCCGCTACACATGTGCTCATTGTGGCCACACGGCAGGCATTTTACTTGTGGGCAAAGGCCTGCCTGGGCCATTGCAGTCAGAAATCGCTAGTCGGATGCAATTCTCGACTGCCACTTTGTGCTACAGTGCCACCCTTGCAGTCTGCACAGCTTCCATTGCTGGAATCTACCTAGATTTTTTATATTTTTAGCCAGACTTCAGTAGGTCCAGTGACCTATAGGTTCTTACTCTTTAAAAAAAAAAACTGCTTCCTGCTCCTGTGTCACTTGTCTCTGTGCCTGCTCTATTTATAAATATTTGTTGCCCTGCATATTCAAGTATTTGCCCTGTGTATATGTCCTAATGCCATTATAGAATTATAGCACCTGCATTATTGTTCAAGTGCTATGATGGTTATTACTATTGCACTCCTGGTGACATACTAGTGTACACTTCCTGTTTGGATTTCTTGTGGGTAATCCCCATATTAGAAGTTGTGTGACCCCCTACGCTATGTCTTATGTTACCTATTGTAATTAACACTGTTATATTGCCCAGCTCAGCAAGTTCAGTTTGTGGGAGTCGAGGTAGACATAATGGCTTGTGTCCTACATCTCCCACTATCCAAGAGCCTCCTAATAAAAAAGGAAATCAGCAGAATTTTTCATCAGGATCACATTCCTTCACCTGGTGGTTCCTGATGGATCATCATCCATTCAGGTGATCTTCCCACGTCTGTTGCATTATCGGGCAATGCAACATCTGAAGGTGGGTAACCTGAGATGCAGTCCCTCGTATGATCAGACTTTTACCATTTTGGACAAGGTCAAGTTGCGCTGGTGGCTCTTGCATATGTAGGCCTGGTTCTGGTGTGCCATCTTTGGCAATCTCCCGGATTTCATCTTGTTATCAGATGTCAACTTATGGGGCTGGGTGGCGTCTTGTGCAGCAACCTCTACTGGAGGAACATGCTTGGCAGATGAGGTTTCAAGGCATATTCTGTAGTTCCAATCCCAAATATTCTTTATTGTGGGATGTGTCGGTTACCTTCTTGAAATCCTGGCCTCAGAAAGACAATTTGTCTCTTTACCAACTTTCAGTGAAGTTACCTCTTTTGTTATTCTTTGTTTCATTTTGTGGTATTTCAGATATTTGCACTATTGACATGGACTATTGGCATGGAGGAGTTTTTTTTACTCCTCATAGGATCACCTTTTGCATCTTGTGATGGATCAAAGATATTTTGCACTTTTTATTTTCGCCTGTCGGAGCATGTATCGTTTTCATTTAAAATTCAAACATGAATCCTTCTGGCATATAATAAAATAATCCCCGTTTTATTAATGTTAGGAGGCAAATATTTTCTCTCTTTCCCTCCCTTCTGTTTTCACTTTTCTGTTTCCGAACTATATACATGTGTGTTGTGTTTTAGTTGTGTCTATTTTAGATTAATCCATGTTATTACCCTTTATTTCACGCTCTTTTATTTATTTTATGTGATGGGGAGATGATTTTGATGGTTTGTTATACAATCTTTGACAGTTAAATTCTTCCTAATTTTTAATTATTTCTGTTCATTTCCTTTACTAGAACGATTGTCTTTTTTTCTTTTAAGTTTGACTCCTTCCTGGTCATTTGCATTTCCATGGACTCAGTTGTTGGAATTGTTTCTGTGGTTTGGTCCATTGCTGTTCATGGTTCCACAGAAGAATGAGGAAGTGGCTACTGTGCAATGACCTTTCATACCCATTTCAGTTTTTCTATTAAGAATTGTGTTCTATGTGTTTACCGCTGTTTTTGGATACAGTAAAGAAAGTATTAATAAAATTAGGATTAAATATTAATAAAATTAGGATTATTTTTTCACCTAGGCTAGCCTAATTTGCAATGTTATGATATAAAGGTACATATTTGTAAGGACCTCTTGAAATAAATGTATTATTTTAAAGATTATACCAATATCACTTCTTAAATTATTGTATTTAATTGAATAAAACTAGTGTAAAACAGTTACCTAAAGGAGGATAACCATCTTATATCTCAGTGACTGCAGTATAAAATGATTGTCAAGCAGGAATTAGTGGAACATTCAGACAGTGCTCAGCCATATGGATCACTTTCAAACTCCAGACTGATGGTAGAAATAATCTTTAAAGACTCTATCTGCTATTCTGCTTGTCACACAAAACAAGGCCACCCAGTGAACTGCTTGCAGAAACAATACTTCAGGAGTTACATTTGCACAAAATGTAATGTCACCAAGAAAATAAATGTGGACTTCTACTGTGGTTGTAAAAAACAACAACTTTTATTGCCAAAGTTTTTTGCACCTTTAGCACAACTTAAATTGGGTCACTGTACCATATTTTCAGATGTAACTTCCATAAAGAACATTCATATTCCAGTTTATAAACATATATTTATAAACTGGAATATGTTTATAGGATGTATAGGAATTGGAATATATGTATAGGATGCCAAAATACCAGAATATTGCAGTATGCAATAATAGCTTTTATTATTGGACTAGCATAATATTTCAAAGACTAGTTTTCGAGAGTTTCCTCTCTTCCTCAGGCCTAAAGTAATACTTCAGGCCTGAGGAAGAGAGGAAACTCTCAAAAGCTTGTCTTTGAAATATTATGTTAGTCCAATAAAAAAAGTATCATTGCATCCTACAATACTCTGGTATTTTGGCATCTTGTCTACTGGACTAATACGGCTAATCCAATCTACACTATATATATATATATATATATAAACATATACCCGATTTTTTTTCTCTCAGTGAAAGTTACATTTTTGGTATTTAACCCTATATGGGGCAAATATAAAATTTTCCTTTATTTGTTATCTGGCCACTAAACATTAAATGCCAGCAAAGACTGGTAGGTTCATGCAACCATGCAATAGTTAATTCAATGGACAATTCAGATTTTGAATGGGATAATTAAACAAATCATTTAGGTGACATAGACCATCCCAAAACAGTAATTATTTGAACAGTTTATAAGCTAAAAGGGATTGTGTCCCTTTTATACATGCTATTAATTTTTTATGCTTAAGTGACCAAACGATTCACTAACAAGTCAGTATAATTCCTAAAATGTAACGATGATGTCTAGAATATCCAAACAAGATGCACAGACGTAGCTTTTATAATTGCAGCTAGTTTGTGTAAAGAAGTGATTTCATTTAAGGGACATTCTAAGAACTAAATCACTACAGTTAAATGTAGTAATCTTTGTGCGTAGATGTTGTCCCTGCACCGTGACAAATGTAAGTATTATGGTTTGTCAGAAACAGAAATGTTTGCATTTGTCAGGCAGGATGCCTCTAGTGGCTGTCAATCAGACAGCCAATAGCGGCACTTCCTAGTGAAGACCACAAACAATTTACAGATTTGTTTGCAGATGAGGGCATGTTTAGTTAAAGGGAACACAATTTAGGATTGCATCCAATTACATCCCTTGTTAGATAATTGACATTTTCAAGATTAGAATGCAAGATATACTTTTAACCAAAAGAAATAGCAATATGTCTACATTACCTAGAAATGGTATGAAATCCTTCCACCAAACATTAGTTATATATTTAATAATCCTGAAGACTGCAGCCTTTGTTTAATATTCTTATAAACTTGTAATGGATGTTGCTATATCATTTCATAAGACAAAATGAAATAATGTGTCAAGGAGAATATGGCATATGTATTAAATGATCTGAAGTTATAGTGTATAAAAACAAGCAACATTTAAACATTTATCTTCCTTACATATTAGAAATAAAATCACGATATATATATATAATATATGTAAATAAGTATATAGTGATTTTATATATCCAATCTACACTATATATATTTATATATAAATATATATATTCATGTAATCTATGAGAATCAATGTTATGTTAAAAATCAAACAAACTATTTATATTCCTACATAATATAATGCACAACGAGCTACAAAAAGCGTGTAATGGATTTCAGATAGAACCTTTTTTCTCAGAGATGGATAAGCCAATTCAGATTACATTTAAGCAATAACTTGTCAACACACATGCTTCTGGTTAGCATATTTATTGACCCAAGAATTATGTATGAGAGTGAGCGTGTTTCCTTATATAATGGAAAAATCGGCTAGAGTGTTGCTCAATTCAGAAATTCCAAATTCCTTGGAAAATAACCACTAAGACTTCTACCCAATAACGCTCATGGCTTATTGAAATGTCTCACCCTTTGAATATTATCATCCAGTGCAAGGCATAAATCACCATTATATAAAATAAAGGAAAAATATGACAATGGAATTAACGTATAACATGGCTTTTAAAAATATTTGTATGAGTAAGCAGGATTTAAGGAGGCTAAAACAGCATTAAAGGGACACAATAGTTACCAAATCAACTTTAGCTTAATGAAGCAGTTTTGGTTATAGATCATGCCCCTGCAGTCTCATTGCTCGATTCTCTGTCATTTAGGAGTTGAAACATTGTTGTTGTCCATGCTGCCCTAGCCACAAGTCATGTGGCTGTGATTCATACAGCCTGCATTAAAACATAGTTTCTTCTTTCAATCAGAACTTTACTTTAGAAATTTGTATCTACTGTTCTGTGAATTGGACTTTCAAACATACAGTGCAGGTGCTACCAAAAGATAGCACAGGCAGCTGCCTGGGGGTTGTGCAGGATCTGTTTGACTGGCACAGCACAGCCCTCCCCTCCTGTCAGCCAGTCCCCTTCTGGGAAAGGGAGAAAGATACACAAAAGGGGCTGGGGGAGAAAGAGACACACGGAGGTGTTGGGAGGAACAAAGAGATACATAGGGGCTGGGGGAAGGGCAAAAGAGGCAGACGTGGGCTGTGGGGGGTAGACAAAGAGACAAGGTGCTGGGGGAAAAGATACATATAGGGGGTGGAATGGGGAGAAAGAGACACACAAAAGCGGCTAGGGTAAAACGAGACACAGTGCTTGGGGTGAGAGACATGGAGGGGTGAGGAAGGGGAGAAAGAGATACACAAAAGGGGTTGGATGGAAGAAGCACACAGAGGGAAGGGGAGAAAGAGACAAACAAAGGGACTGGGAGATAAGAAAAGATACCCAGAGACGCTGAGGAAAGGGAGCAAGATGCACACAAAGGAGCTGAGCAAGAAAGATGCACACAAAGTGGCTGAGTGAAGTAAGAGACACACAAAAGGCTGAAGGGAGTAAGTAACACACTTAGGGACTGGAGGGTAAAAAAGGGGTAAAAGAGATGCACAAAGGGAATAAATAGGGGATGAGGTATATTAAAGGGTGTAAGACATTCAAAAGAGAGGATAAAAAAACAAACAAAGGGGCATAAGAAATTCAAGAGGGGGATTAAGGGACACACAGGCGAAGATCCATTTTTGGGGAGAAACTGGGAGAGTGGGTGGCAGCAAAATGCATCTTAGCCTGCGTAACCAAAAACACTTGCACTGGCCCTGCACACACATGAAGCTCCTGCAGGCTTTAGAAGGCTATTAACAGAGCATGATATAAAAAATTCTAAATGATACAGAATGTGCAATACGGGAAATGTAAACATTAGATGTCTTTTTAGACAAAGGGTTTAGGAAGAATGTGCAAGTCACAAGCAGGGAACTGTGACTAGGGTTGTATCAACAAAGTGATTTAACTCCATAATGGCAGTTAATTTAGCAGTGAGACTGCAGGGACATGATCTATACACCAAAACTTCATGAAGCTAAAGTTGTTTTGGTGCCTATAGTCTCCCTTTGATCATTTTGGTTAATGATTGTGTATAGTAGCTGAAACTGTAACAATACTACTGTTTATGTTATGCACAAATACAGACATTGTTCTATTCTGTTGACATATAAATGAAGATACATTGTTGCAACTGCCATACTAATAGATATGCACCAAATATTATACTATATGTATTTATATTTTAATTGAGTTTTCCACAAAATACCAATACAGAGGGTGACCTAATGATGTCCAGTTAAATAATGGGTACATTGGGCTAGCCGCTGGAGAGTATGAGAAAGTATAGTCTTTGAAGTACAGTAGCAATTTGTTCATATTTATGTTCTCAACACTAACAGCAAATTATTTTCTTATGTGTATGGTACAATAAAACATGTGGTGTTTCGTCATGTATGCAAAATTTTAGACCCTATCAGAAAAAATGCAAGTAAAGGGATACTATGTAATCCATAAAACGTTTAATCCCCACAAATATTACAATGATGCATAATGAAAATAAATACATTTTAAAAAAAAAATTAATTTGACTTCTCTGACTACACTCTGCCCTCACAATTGCGGTTTTAATCTCCACTTACATGATAGTTATGCGTCAAGTGTTACAAATAAATGCCACACAAATATTAAAAACACAGAGTGCTTGCAGTGAAGGAGTTTCAGGGAAGTTTGACAGAAATCTACAATTCTTTACAGGGTTCTGGAATATTCATTAAAGTGAGAATTTAAGGTGAAAATGTAAATTCAAAGTGAAATTCAAGGTAAAATTAGACAAATTGGAAAACTTAAACTGAAAAGACAGTCATGTTTCCAAACCAAATTCTTTAAAAGTACTTAGAGGAATATACTTTACTGATAACTAAAGAGAAACAGGTCAAATAAATTCTAATGTGTTTAGTTGTTTTTTCCCTTATAATTTACCAAACAATGTGTGCTGTACAGACTAACTGGTACAGGATGCTTTCTGCCTGCTATGTTCATATGGGCAGTTTAATATTTTTTTCACTTGAGATGTCTTTACTGCCATGATATCAAAGTTGGTGGCTGCACACATCTTGGAATCACCCCTTGTGACAATTCCCTGCTTGCTCACAGATGTACCTTAAAATGGATAGTGTCTAGCATCATAATCCAAGATCCGTAGTCATCATAGTCAATCCGGTTCACAACCTATTCCAGTCATAGATGATTCATATTGCATGACTGCTGGGGCAGTACATTGGAGACCCCTGGTCCTACCTTAAAGTATGACTTTAATCCTGTTCATTAGAATGTCCACAGCACCCCTGAAATTATAAATATAACCTTCTCCCACAGCTTCTGTGATGGAGGAAAGTGAGTAATTTATATGGACCTGCTCATCACATTTAGCTATGCCCATTGCACAGTTAGATTAGGAATGTTGAAGAGCTATGACATTATTTTAGGTACTGGTTATGAATGGTATAAAAGTGGATGCATTTAAATGGCTGTCTCCTGGTTTAGTGGGAGTGATTGCGTATTTTAATGGACCTTTTTGACAGCCAATCTTTATTATGAGGACTATCAAGTTCAATAAAGATTGTTCCACCTGATACTTTTAGGTCAATTACATATTGTTTTGCAGTGTGTATATATATATATATATCACTATATATGTTAGTTTGTAGCACACAAGTTTTTTTCCAAGTCCGTTGGAAAATAAGTATTTTTTCTGCCAAATTATTTTTACATCTTTACTATAATAAAGCTTCTCTATATTGTATATTTCACCATTTTTAAAACAAATTATTTTTCAACTTTAAATGAAACGCTTCCCATTAAGAAAGAAAAAAAAAAACGAGCCCCTGATTTGATTATTATAACAGCAAGAGAAATTTTTCAGCAGTCTGTTTTCTACACATGCGAAGCATATATTATATGGTATATGCAACTGCTAATGTTTCCAAAATTAGAAAATGTAATCTATATACATGACTCAGAAAATCTCTCTTTAATCTCTGAAACACATGTCTGAATCTAAACCATGACAGTGTCGATGCAAATGGATACCATATGACTGACTGTGGAAAATGGACAGAAGTTCAGCTGTTTCCTCCTTGATGCAAGTGTATCGAAGTAGACTTTCCAACAATATGCTTAAGGGGGAAAAGTCAATTAAAATACAACTGTCCCAATTCTAGTGAAAGTCACTGATCATCAAGAATTGCTATTCATTATATTGTATGTGCATTTAAACTATAAACTGACATGCTGACAAAATGCATTTAAAAGGCCATGCACGTCAAATCCCATTTGAAGAATGATGATGACTTAGTACATGGATAATCTGACCTTCTATTAAACCTTATTAAGATTGTTGACATTTCTGTTATTGTGTCTTTTTCTGATATAAGTTCTGCCCCAAGCAGTATTTGGTGCATTGGTTCACTGCCCTTATTAGAAAAAAGGGCTCTATTTTCTGTAAAGTGGGTCTTGGCAGCCAGTATAAATTATCCCAATTAGTTAAAGAGACACAACAATTTTAATGGTTCATTTACTGCAATATTGATCATTTCAATAAAATGCTGATTGGACAGTAAAGTAAACTGCAGGTAAAAGCATGCATTATTTAAAGCTATGATCATCTGAATTGCTTATACTATAAAACAGACAGTAAACTGATTATAGCAAGTGTAGTGTCAACACTATTAGTAAATATCCTATTCTCTGCTCATGGAGGGAGATCTTTGCCCTGTGTGTGCAGATCACTCTTCTGTGGTCCCTCTTACATTGCTATTGTGGGATTGAATGACAGTGCTGGAATATGGCATCATAAATGAGTACCCTTATATTAAAATACAGTTTGTATATCCCGTGACTCCTATTTGTTGGCCACTGTGTTTAAAGAGCAACTAAAATGATGTAGACTAACTGGTCCATCATAGAGCTTCTTAAAATATTTCACATACTAATTGTACATACTAATTTTCCCACTGTATTATTCCCTATTTTATTAAAATGCACAATATAAATTGAGTAGCTTTGTGCCTTGGAAATCAGTATTGATCTGCTATTTGTGTCTCGCCTCAAAATTCAACTTCCACTCTCCCAGACCACTCTTGCTGTCCACAACTGGTCCCACACGTTCTTGAAAGAATGAGCAACAGGTGAGATTTACGAGAGGTAGAAGACACTCATGAAAATATGAGAAAAGAGGGGAAGAGCAGAGGACAGAGGTTGGTGGGAAAGGTGAGGCCAAGGAAAAGAGATGGATGATTAGGGATGTCCAAAAGATTTCATGCATAACCTTATTTCAACCCACAATATTTTCCAGTATCATCAATAATTCACCAACCTTTATTGAATATACATTTTAGAACAAAATTAGCATGTAACACAATAAACAATTTTATGTCAATCAAAAATATATTTTAATTTCATAGCCCTTTATTTTCATTCTTAAAGAAATGGTCAGAAAATTGGGATTAAGCAAAATTAATCCTAGATTTTTTAAATAAACTAATATATTATTTTATTATGAAACTGCATACTAACAGCTCCTCAGATATTACCTTGTTTTTTCCTGAAGAGATCGGTCTACTTCACATGGAGCTAAAGAAGGTTTCACCAATGAAAGGGGAAATCAGGGTAGTGCTGGCTTATTAATAGTTTAAGTTTATTTTTTTACCTTCTCCAACTGTGTTGTATTAAAACATGAAACTGTTCTGTTATTAAATCGTTGGCTTCCTTTTATCCATTCTAAGACCTACTGCTGTACCACCAACAGAAAACATCAAAGAACACAGACCAATGGGGTGGCACCTTCCCCAGCCAGGCCAGAGACAGCTGCCAGATAATCTTCCTACCTGAGAGCTTGCTCAAGTGACCTACTTCAATTCAGAGAGGAATACAACAGATTAACTGGGTAGGGGTTTTATCCATAAACACAGTGGCTTGCTGTGAAACACTGTGTATTTACAATCAGAAGGGAGCAAGTGATGTGAGAGAAATATTTATTTAAACTGACAAAACTTCAAAGGAGTCTTTAGAGTCTAATTTTACAATTAAATATAAATCAGAAGTAGTACTATTTTTTAACTAATGAGCATTAGAAATGCATTCTGTATATGTGAGTTATAAAAATAATAATAATTGAGCTACTCTATTAATACATGAAGAATATGAATGGTCTATCGACCAAAACACTTAAGAACGTTGTTCATCATGTCTACCTACCAGGTGATAGATATTACCCTCTATGGTAGTTTGTGGTAACTATTGCATCTTAACTGTGATAACTAACTGTGATATTAATGACACCCACTAAGTTAGTTATTTTTATCTATATACTAGCTGAAATGACTGAGGATTCAAATGAATGTAAGGTTTGAATTTTTTTTTTGTAATAAGAAGAAGCAGAGATTAAAATCAGAGCAAAACAAGACAAACTTTAAGGACAATAGAGTCAGTTAATCAGACACATTTTAAGGACAGGAACAAACTGTACTTTATA